GTAATGTCAATTAATACAACAGGAGAAATGCAATCAAGACCGAAATAATACTGTTCGACAAGTTTAAAACAAAAGCACGGCCAGAAGTACATAACGAAGGAAAAAACTTGTCGTGCTACAGAACATAACTATTGATATGAACAACTTATTGGAAAAAGAAAAGCGATATCAATACGATGTAATGCGTACAGATATCTGAATTGTCTACGATGTAATGAAAGATACTTATTCAGAAATTTTACCAGATCAAAGCAAACATTTGACAGATAAATGGTAAACCTTACTTTGTAAAAATACACATTGCCATTTTATATTGTGGAGACTTTTTCATACGTGTTTTGTCATAATATTGTATGGCCATCAAGCTTTTTCAGTAAACGGAGTGTCTAAACGCCAGGCAGTCAAGTTTTTTTCTTTAAAAATCGTCAGAACAACAGTAATTTCAATTGATACAGCAAGAGAAATGCAATAAAGACTGAAATAATGCTGTTCGTCGATTAAGTTTGTATACACAAGCACACAAGTTCCAGAACTAAACGTCAGGCAGTCAAATTTTTGAAAAAAAAAAAAGACATACCAGAGTTGTGGAAGTGAAATTGTCTAACGCTTTCTGTATCAGACCGTTCCCCTTCAACCATTATCACAACAATTTATCATTGTCTCAGCAGCCTATATTTAGACCATTGTTTCTTCACTTTGAAGGGATAATTAGTAGGATATTTAATAGGCATTTAATGATAAAAATAATTTGTTCACAGAATAAACAGATAAAAAAAGTGTTTTATTTGGTTCAATAGCCACAACAACAAAGACAAACAAAGTATATCAAATGTATAAAGTAAACAATAGATGCATTAAATGTCCTTATCAAATGCATATCAAATATCATAACCCTTATCACTTCAAAATGAAGAAAGAATGGTCCAATTATAGGCCCTGCACCATTCACTGGATGCTTGGGGACAATGATAAATTGTTCTGGTGATGGTTGAAGGGGGGCGGGGAGGGTCACGATATTTTGCCCGTCTAATATCAGTAGAAAATTTCACTTCCCCACTATGGTTGGTTACCCTATTCCCTGTACCCACTTTTCAATTTCCACCTCCCCTCCCCCTGCTAATTTTTGCCCAAGACCTTATTTCGGTCTTTATTCCATTTATGTTTGATATTTGTAAAATATAATTTGAACACCAAAACAGAGTGGAACATTGTCTTAATACCACGTGCTAATATCGAACTGTCGTAGAAATACTTGTTGTAATCATAAATGTAGTCATAGCTGTCTAATTAGCGGGCGCTTTCTACAGAGCGCGCGCGATTAGTTTAAAAATCGTAGAAATCCAAACGTACAGATTGTAAACTTAAGGAATTKAAAAGGTCCAATCTGGGACGAAACTAGTTTTCCTTAAAATAAAGTTTCTTGGCGTGATTGTGTGTTGAGTTCAATCCTGTCCAGCATTATGAAATATTCCATTTATCTTGTACTATTAATTGAAATTACAGTTGTTCCGACGACTGTAAAAAAGTCGACTGCCTGACGTTTAGTTCTGGGACTAAACGATACGTTTAGATACGTTAGATACGTCTAGATATATACGTTTCGATGACCCTGTGCTGAATGGGTGGCATGTTGYATATAATSGCATGAATATAGCGYGTGCAGGAGTGGCTATCGCCATGGCACCACATGTTCGACTCTTGGATATTGTGCRTATAATGGAGGGCAGGTTAACTATGGTTAGAGTGAAGGTGAATGGGGTAAAACTGGTGATATACTCTTGCTATTGTCCTACTGAGGAACACAGTACCTCTGCAAAAGAAGATTTCTACCGCAAATTACACAGGGCAATTCAGCAGATGAGGAAAGAACATCCCTCCTTTAAGATCATTGCAGCTGGAGACTTCAATGCTACCATTGGGCAAGATTGTAACCATGCTATTTGGAGAGGAGTTGGRCCGTACCATGACRAAGATCCCACCAGCTTTAATGGCACCAAACTCCTTGAAACTGCTGAGTACAACAMTCTATATATYTTAMACACTATGTTTGCAACYCGATCGGACGAACATAGATGGTCTTTTCACTCTAACCTTGGATATAAGCGCAGGTTGGATTACATTCTAGCTGACTGGTACGTGAAGCGCGCGACAACTAACTGCCGAGTCTACCCGATGCAGAGTCAAGTGTTTGACTCAGACCATCGTATCGTGGTCATGACTGCTGCATTCCCATCCCGAAAAGAAGTGCGCAAGATCTTCAGAAAACCCAGGCCTCCTTCCTCGCGCCCAGATATCAGAAAGTTAAGGGATGACCCCGAACTTCAAGGAAAATACAGTGCAAAGCTAGATGCTTTGCTTTTGGAAACCAACGGAAATAGAAGGGAACTAGATATAGTAGAAGATCAGATAGTGGAGGCAATTCTACAGGCATCCCAAGAAATGATACCATCTAGAAACAAGATAGAATTGGATAAGCCATGGACAAACCCAACTTATCAAGAGCTCACTCAGAAATTCCTGTCGGAGAAGGATCCCAAAAAGAGAAAAACAATGTTCTATGAGACAAGGAAAATGCGGACGAAGTTAAAGAATGCCTATTATAGCATCAAGGCTGACCAACTTAAT